GTCATCATTTACCCAGAATGCTTTGTGTGTAAATAAAATGGCTCTGTCCGTGTTAAAATATATTTCAAAAAATTTGTAAAACTAAACAGCCTACAGTATTTTTACCTTCGTTATTTTACAGTTAAAATATATGTTTATCAAATAAAGTCTAAACCAATCGGGGATCCCTTTAAGAAAGAAAAAGTGTAAAAAAGCAACCTCAATTTTGAAAACCTTGACATGGTCTGTAAACTGTAAAGAGGAAAAAAACAAACAAACAAAAAAACAGAATTCCAGTGGTGGGCACTGTTCCACTAATCTAATGTTTTGTTGAGCAGTTTAACACTTGAATTAACTTAAGAAATACATAACAGACTCCACTTCAACTAATATAATACCAGATATTTTCCAGTTTAGAATACATTGCGCCATAAACACAAAGAAATTGACTTTACATGTAGCAGTGGCATACTATTCTTTGTTGTGAGTAGATGCAACACAAGACAAAGCTCTGCTACAGGTCCCAGACTGACATCAGACCCACTTTTTAGCAATTCAATGTTCACTTATCAATTGTGTGAGCCTAAATCAATTTATACTCTCATCAGACTGAGGTTCATCCTGAAGTCCATTGTCAGGTTGTCTTCAACTCTTATAGAAGTGGTTGTGCTTCTTGTTACTACCAGCTAAAATAATTTTCTTAAATGGGTTGTAATAAACAACACATTATTTATTCTTAAATTTACTTAATTACATATAGAACACAACTGATCAAACATTGAAGACCAGTTGAAAAATGTCAAGAATTCACATTTTGCACCGTTAGATCATAGGAATGTTCTAAGTAGAGCATTAAAATGCAAAAAGATGAAATGTGAGTCAGACAAAAAACACTTTAGAAAGCATTTTATTGCAAACAATTATTAAATGGAAATAGGCTGTTCATCAGCTTATCAAAAGTTTAAGACCTTTTCTCCCCCTAAAATAGAAATGAAATTTACACCATTCTTGCTAATCACCACAAAATTTGTTTGGGCATGCTTGATGCTAGTGTTTCCTCAACGCTAGAGGGAATGTTGCTCCAGGTGGTTAAGATGGCTTCGCAGAGGACATACAATGTCTGGGCACTTTCATTTCCCCTCTCCAGCACAGGACCAGTGACATTTCTTGGAGTCTGCCACTTAACCTTTTTGTTCCATAACCCTCAGGATCTATAAGAAGTTTAAAATGACTGCATCCAAACCCAGCAGTAATGGCATCATGTGAGAGGCCTTGCTTATACTTAAGAGTTGGTCCAGTGTTCCACGGCCAGGACAGAACCTGCATTGTTCCTCCAGAATCTGAGGTTTGACTATCAATCAGACTATCTTCTCCAGTACCCCTGAAAAGGCCTTACCTGGAGGCTAAGGAGAGTGATGCCCCTGTAATTGGACCACACCCTCTGGACCCCCTTTTTAAAGAGAGGAACCAGTCTGTCAATCCAGTGGCACTGCCCTCCATGTCCATGTGATGTTGCAAAGGTGTGTCAACCAGGACAGACCCACAACATCCAGAGCCTTGAGGAAATCAGGGTGGATCTCATCCACCCCTGGAGCCCTGCCACCATGGAGCTTTTTAACTACCTCACAGACCTCAGCTCCAGTTATGGACAGACCAACCCTGAAGTCCTCAGACTTTTATCCTCCATAGAAGACGTGCTGGTGGGATTGAGAAGGTCTTAGAAGTATTCCTTCCACCTCCCGATGACATCACTGGTTGAGGTCAACAGCACCCCACCTTCACTGAGCACAGTGTTAGTGCTGCTTCCCCCGCCTCAGCCGCCAGAGCGTTTGCCAGAATCTCCTCAGAGCCRATCGAGTGTCTTTGTCCAAGCCCTCACCAAGCTCCCCCMACATCTGAGCTTTTGCCTCAGCAGCAGCCAGGGCTGTGGTCTGCTTGGCCTGCCGATACTCCTTAACTGCCTCTGGAGACCTACCAGCCAACAAGTCCCGATAGGACTCTTCCTTCATYCCGACAGTCTCCCTTACCAGGATACTCAAATCAGTTTACTACAATCTGTGCCATTATCTACACATTCACACGGCACTCTGTCTCCCTACAAAGCTAATTTACACAAATAATTCTATGGAGATTACTCAGTGCTTTAAATCAAATTTATACATTGATGGGACAAACATCACAGGCAATGGGGGTTCAGTGTCATGCCCAGGGACACTACAAGATGTGACTGAATACCTGGGGGAATTGAACCACCAACTCCCGCATTGGCAGAATGTTCCCCTGAACACTCAGCCAAAGGCTGAAGATGGGCAGCCACAATCTGCCCATCTTCAGCCCGGTTCTGCTGGTGTTGTTTCCTTGCAAAAGGGAGCTGTTCTTTTCCCGGGTTAGATAGAAAAGTGCTTTATAAATACAGACCATTTACCRTTTACCGTTTAATCCCATTCAGAGGAAGTCAAAGGCTGAAATGTTTGTTCCTAAGATGTTCAGGTCCAAAGCTCAACTTTTCAGAGTTGAAAAGATTAAAAGTAGAAAATTGAGTCATCCAGGTCTTTAAGTCATGKTTTTAATTTAATTTGTTGCCAAAATTCTTCAGTTCTTTATTTGYATCACTTTTACATGCTTACCTTGACTCTGTCCCAACGGTTTAAAGATTTGTTGCTGACTTCAAATTTGAAATTACTTTTATTTATTTAATTATTAATGCAATTTTTAATTGGTACAGTTCTTCAGTTCAAACATTTCATGTGTTAATTATCTTTTACTTTGAATAAAATGTGGTTTAACATTTTACACAACATCTTAAACCTTTGCTTGTCTCTAACTGGTGTCTTACAGTTTTGAGCCCTTGATGCTTCGGAGGCCAGACTCTCGGCGCAGTACCACCCAGACATGGTACTTCAGCTTAGGCATGCTGACATGTGGTCTTCCTCGGCTGGTGGTGCAGGTAGTTACATTCTCATGTTTTCTATAAGGATTTTTCTCCCCTCTGAACTGCATTGGCATTTATTGTCTTTCWCTCAAACATTGCTGTACACTTTTAGGTATACTTACCAGAATTTTACCTGTTTGTGTGTTCTACACACGGTGAGCTTTAAAAACAGTTGATTACCACCTACCACTGTTGGCAAAAGATGATAATGTTAACTTTTAAGTGTGTAAGTATGATTTTTCAACCATGTATGATAAATACCCCATGAACCATCAGTACATCTGCAACAGATTGTCATTGGTAATCAACCCTATTCAAGATGACCATCACAGCAAAGTAGCTTTAGCAAAGAAATAAGGGCTGTATCTCTACCAATTTTATCAAAATTATTTATTTATTTATTTACTTTTATTTAGACAGGTAATCTCATTGAGATGGKTTGTCTCATTTACAAGAGACACTGACAGAACAACAGCTACATTAAAAAAATACAGAAATCACAAAACATTTTCTTGAAATTTATAATGGAGCAATGTTTAAACAAAACCTAGATACAAGAACAGGTCTGAAATTGTTATTTTTCTTTTTTCTTATAATATTTTTTATGTCCCAGGAGGATCAAACTGGGCACTTTCTGTTTTTGTTGTAGTGTATTCCATGATGATAAAGCAGAAAAGGAGAGTTATGTATGAACGTAGGAGACAATGAAAGAAACAAAATCCTGGTAATATAGACTATGATTTTCAGGTATCATCATTGTGAAGGTATACTGGTATACCAKTATAACAAGATGTTTATGAGCCACAAAAAGAAGCATGAAATAAATTTGTAAGATATATGTTAGTTTTATCTTCATTTTTTTATGTGGTCAGTATGACACTTGAAGGAGAACTTTTTATCAAAGATGATACTGTTAAATGGGTACCAGGACATATTGGCATTAATGGTAATGAGATACCTTGTAAAAGCTGGGAGTCAGGCTCACTTCAAAGGACCAGAGCCTGTTGTAGGTATCTCAACAACAGTCTGTAGGACTGCCCTACAGGCCTGGATTAGACATCAACACTCAATCCGCTGGAGGGAGCTGACGGACTGTAGACAGGCACAGSAACTGATTAACGGCCCAAATCTAAGGTTTGGGAAAGCTCTCATCACCCTGACAAGGAAAACTCTAAGTACACTGGTTGGAGTCCTAACTGGGCACAATCTGCTCAACCTCCATAAAATGGTGATGGGACTCCATGACAGTGGTCTGTGTGATYCCTGTGGCATTGAACTACAGACCTCTTTGCACTACTTAGGACATTGCTTGACAAGGTCCATGTCAGATGTTGGGGAACCAAGACATACATGCACAAGTGCAGAGAACTTAGCACTTGTGGATATACACTGCTCAAAAAAATAAAGGGATCACTACTGCTAAAAAAAAATAAAGGGAACACTTAAACAACGCACGCTAAGTCCAAGTAAATCAAACTTTTGTGAAGCACATTCAACTCTGTACAGAACAAAGTACTCAATGCGAATATTTCATTGATTAAGATCGGGAGTTAGCATGCGTTGTTTAAGTGTTCCCTTTATTTTTTTGAGCAGTAGTGTTCCCTTTATTATTTGAGCAGTAGTGTTTCCTTTATTTTTTTGAGCAGTGTATATATATACTGTGCTTCTCAGAAAGACAGAGAGGTTAGGTTTATGGTATTTGTATAACTGTGCAACCCATTGATAGCTATCCAGGAAAATTGGGAGTGTGGTAATGGAGACAAAATGAAAGTGGCAGAGCTCTACTTGGGAGTTATAAAGTAATATATACACTCACCGGCCACTTTATTAGGTACACCTGTCCAACTGCTCGTTAACACTTAATTTCTAATCAGCCAATCACATGGCGGTAACTCAGTGCATT